TGATCTGTCGAAGGAATTATTTCTTTGGGGAACGCCTTCTGCTGCTCCCTTTTTATTTCAGTAGATATAGTTGGTTTAATGAAATAATTGGAATGAGGATGCAAGAATTTTTGTTTGGCATATTCAAGCAATTTTTGATCGATAAAATTATTTTGAGAATTAATTCTAATTTGATAATGATTTTGAAATGATTCGATTGCAAAACTTTGGGGATTGACGTTTACTTCACTATTTAATGGAATAATTGTAATGAATTGAATGTGGTTCTGAATATTATTTAGAAATGAACAAAGTACACCATTGGCACGCCAGGATTTAAATAAATTATCGATTTGATATGTGTTGATGCGCCATTTTGGAAAAGTGTTATTTGTATACTCACGATTATTCATAAAACAACTTCGAATTTCTTGTAAAGCTTTTTCTCGATTATTTGGGTAAAGTCTTGATGGAAAATTAATACGATGCGATTGAACAGATGTTTCCTGAATGTTTTCATAACGTGTGAATTCAGGATATGGAAGAGTTCGTAGTGATGTTGTTGATGATTTCAGAAATGATTTGAGTAGTTGAAAATAAAATGGTAGAATATCATGTTTACGAGAAATGTAACGAAGAAAGTCTAAGAGTATTTCTAAACGTTCAATTTCATATTGTTGATTCGGACTTTGTTCTGTCTTTAGTTGTTCAATTAACTTAAATAAACCAATCCATATATGTTTCGGTTGATATTCATTTTTTAGCCATCGAGATAATGGAAAACATGTCAATGATGAACTATCTCTTAGATATACATCTCCATTGGAATATAAATAATCAACAAGTCGAAGAGGATTATTGTAAGTAGTTGATAATGTAGAACTTTCCCATACAGGTTGGTATGATTTTGTTATATTTGTTGATCGAATCTCTGGGTGTGGGTGTGGGTGTGGGTGGGTGTGGGTGTGGGTGTGGGGTGTGGGTGGGTGTGGGTGTGGGTGTGGGTGTGGGTGTGGGTGTCGGTGTAGGGTGTGGGTGTGTGGGTGTGGGTGTGGGTGTGTGGGTGGGGTGTGGGTGTGGGTGTGGGTGGGTGGGGGTGGGGGTATCGGTCTTTTCTTCAATAGCACTCACACTCACACCCACACCCACACCCACACCCACACCCACACACCCACACCCACCCACACCCACACCCACACCCACACCCACACACCCACACCCACCCACACCCACACCCACACCCACCCACACCCACACCCACACCCTCTGTCACGATCTGTGATGGGTCCAGACCCTGTCTGTCACGGTCTGTAATAGGTCTAAAGCCTGTCTGTCGCGGTCTGGGATGGGTCCAGATCCTGTCTGTCACGGTCTGTGATTGGTCCGTAGCCCTGTCTGTCACGGTCTGTGATGGATCACTCGAGTGTCTGTCAAGGTCGGTGGGGGAGGGGGAGGGGGATCCAAATTTCTACCCCTAAACACTTCAACACTCCTTTCAGATCGTGTTTCACAAGAGCGAAAGTTTTCAGTAGTCATCTGAAGTTAGCGAGGAGAGGAGAAGGAAAGAAAAAAGGAAATATACGATGGTCCGTGATAATGCTGATAATAATACAGACGCATTCCTTCTTATGTTTATATGGGATCAGGTTTTAAGAAATGATAAGAAGAAGAAAATGAAATAAAAGAAAGAAGAAGAACATAGAGAAAACGAAAAAGAATGATGTATGGATGAAAATATCAGCTTCTGCTACCAGGGAGTTGTACGTAAAATAAACGTTTTCTCGAAATTTCGCTAACTTAGTAGAAGGCGAGAAATGATCAAATAGCATAGAAAAATAGAGCGAAACACGATCTATCTATTGGTAAAAAAAGAAACTTCTTAAGGCCTCTGCTTGAGGAAATAAGGTACTTCCCTCACTACTTGTGGATTGCCCTAAGTATAAAGAAGGGCATATAAATGAATATAATTGACGCCAAATCAAAATATCACTTGCCAGGGTGATTCATCATTAAGGCTAACTGAAGAAGTAGCTCTCTCAATACCGTTGATGACATTGTTTATAGAACTACTTCGTCGTCTCAGTTGTGTCTGTATCAGTAGAAGAATGTTCTTACATGGTAGTTACACAAAAGAAAGCAACAGAAACATACATCATCAAGATTAATATTGAAGAAGTCATTTAGAAAAGACGAGAAGAAGAATGAACTTTAGCGGTTGATAACCATTACACCCATGGTTCACATTCTCTCAGCTTTATTTTAACTTGAGGCGAACGATCTTTGTTTTGTTCAACATCAATTATTTTAAACGCCGAATAGGGCAGAATTAATACTTCTTCTTCATATGCAAATAATGATAAATGTTGAATGGCCAAAGCAGTTCTTTTATTACGTATTTCATATATGCATATAGTACTTAGTCGATCATCTGTATCGACGTTTTCGTGATGAAAAGTGGATGCTACGTTCCTGTTCTTTGATGACGAAGAAAACGTTTTAGTTAATATGCGTGTACCGACCTTGTAGTTCTTTACATCATCAGTTGTCATAATCATGCCGCGAAATACTTCGCCGATGTATGATAATGTCTCAAATTGTGGATGACGAGCAATTATCCCAATATAGTACGCTCGACTCAGATTCTCTTTATCAGTCAATTTTTCAAGTTGTAATTGTGCCAGATGAACATTTAACATAGAGTAAAAACCTGTCTCAGCTGTATATGCTGTTAATAAATAATCGGGATCTTTTTCATTGATTGCCATATTGAAATATTCTCTTACTGTATTGATACCATCAACATCTCGTAATTCCTTTTCAAGATAATTTTGTTTTATAAAAGCAATCAATTTATAAAATTGCGGATCTTTGCCATATGATTCTAATTTTTTAAAATATTCATGTGCTTGGTAATCGGCATCAGTTGTTGGAAGAATCCACTCGATGGTGTCACTGACGAAACGCTTCTGACCCATGCGACGGCGTATTAGCTGCTTTATTCTATCAGTTTTAGCTTCATCAAAGGGAGTACAATTATATTTATTTGTTGTTAAACAGCTAGCACCTTTCTGTAGTAACAGTTCAACAATCTTCTCATGTCCTCGATATGCAGCTACATGAAGTGCGGTGGATCCGTTTGGTTCTATTCGGTTAACTTCTTCCACTGACATGGTTTGCAAATAATGTTCAACTAACTCGATATCATCTGCTCGACATGCATCATAGAAAGAGCTGATCCTGGACGCATCAGATGGCGAACCTATCAAAGATTAGAGCTTTTTAAAGTCGTTTTCGAGCAATAAGCCTCTTGTAGACGAATGTTGTATAATATTCTTTATTTTACGCTTCATATGGAACCTTGTCACTTTTCAAAAATTCCGCTTCCTGATAGTAAAATATCAGTTTATTTGATTATAAAACATTTGAGAACTTGGAAAGCATCAACATCTTCCATGGAAGTTTTAACGTAGACATTTCCTTAGAAAAAAAAAGAATAGGCTCTGTCAAATACATGTCTATCTATTCATTCATTTAGAATATTTTTGGCATTCCTCAATCGACTAAGCAGCCTTCATTTCTTTACTACCGTTTCTATATTACTGTCAACTATAAAAATGAGTGATCGCACATAGGGCAGTAGCCAAGTTATTACTTTCTACTCTGTTGATTCCTAAGCCATTTCTTCTTTTGATTCTTCGTGTGCTTCTAGGTACACAAATAACACTGCGAGGCAATCATGCATTTTCCTCATCTGAACGCATCCTTGTCTAGGGAAATATTTTGCTGAGAGCATTAGAATATGACAAACATATATTTGAAGTCTCTTTTCTGAAATTCGCTTTCGTTTAGAAACTGTAAAAATGCGGACAAAAGTAATGAACAGTTGGAACTTCTCTTTTATGGTCAAATGCGATTCCATAGAATCTATAGCAACACTAGGGAGGCACGTATGGGATCCATTATCGCTTTCCTCCCATTCTTGAGTTTAAACTAACAGATGTAGTTAAATCGGCTGTCTGTAGAATGCGTTAGGATGATGCCAGCATTATTTTCCTAATAAATTCCACATTCAGTCCAATATCCAATCTGAGCGAAGTCTAATCGGCTTTAGGGGTGGCACTTTATCTTTCTTTTAACGGGTAAAGTAAAGTAACACAACTTTACTTTACTCGGTAAAGTTAAATGCTTTACTTTACTTTACCTTTTCAAAGTAAAATAGAGATAAAGTAACACCCATAATCTCACAAAGATTCCAGATCATTTTCTGAATGATCAAAAATTATCAAAGTGAATTTTTCATGCTAAAAAATCTAGTCATGACGTCAACATCGTGAAAAATGAAGTTCTTATTAATTTACTTTTCATTTCTGACTTTTTCCTGTTTTGCCCTAACCTTATAAACTACTTGTGCTTACCTTCTTTTCATCAGTAAATGAATAGATATGAGAATATCAGGACAATAAAATACATTCGCTTACGAGGAGACCCCATAATTTCAAATGAAAATTCTAAAACCATCGCAGAATTGAAAATTTCCAGTATAACAAGGATCAATAGAAAGTTCTCGAAAGAATAGGTATTTAGCACTGTGTAATGGCTATTCTAGTATAGTAGATAGAGCACCAGAAAGTCCCACACCATTCACATTCCCTCGATTCAATTATAGTTCGGTTGTGTACCTACCGTTGCCGAGCAATAAATCAACGTTTTTCTACAATGCAATTTTTATTTAAATTCTATTTTGTAGAAAATCGGCTTTAAATAAGCTAAAACATTTTCAAATTTGTATTATTCAATTGTTGAATTTCAAACTTTCAGAAAATGCTTGATTTTCTAAATACTAGAAATTCATTTTGATTTCCTACAGAAAATAGAAACTTGAATATCAATAGTTTATTTTTAAGAAAGTTAACATTCATTGTTCAGTTCATATGGATATTCGTAGAATAACAAATTTTGTTCCTTATAAATTATTTTCTATTTTACAGTGTAGCAGAATTCGTTCTCAATGCGAGGTGAGAAACAATCCAGAACAGCATGAAACAATTCATTTCTCTAGTTTCCACCGTTCTTCTGATCGATCCTTTTTTTATAAACTTTTCTGGTAGTTCAAATCATGGATTGGGTATTGCATTCCCACTAAGATAGATAGGCAGGCATAGATTTATCTGAGATTTTCATATAGATACCTCATCGCATTTCTCATTTGTTTTTTTCACGTATCAGACATTTGTTCTCATTTTCACTGGAAAACGATAAGTTGCCAACAGTTCGTAATAGTAACCATTTTACTTCTCTAAGAGCTATCTGATGTTTTCTTTTTTCGAATAAAATGGGAAAGTTCTTCGGGTTTTCACCCGATTTTACTGAAAAATCTGTTGATTCTTTTGAAGAATCTACTGATTTTTTTATAAAAATCTACTGATTAAATCCTAATTTTTGACAAAAACTCTCGATTTATAAAATTTAGATTTGGCAAGCCTCGTAAGTGGTCGAGTGGATATCGGAGGATGTGTGTAGATGAGTGTGAGAGACGAGCACACCAACACTGCTACCTACACCCAGATCCAGACTCATGTACAACAACATCAATCTCCATTTCATTGTTGTCACACGCATATGACGATAGCTTTACCATGGACAAATTCAACTTTCAATACAGTTGAATTTTCCTCCAACTACGAAGAAACTATATTATCTGTCGTTGGTCGTACGAGGTAATAGCTACCAAGTATTTCTTTGGATATTTTTCTTTAATGTTTATAGTTACACCATGATAAGTATATCATCTGATCGAAGGTAGTTTGTTAAGTGCTGACCTAAGGAGTTCGAGGTAGTTACACTAGAACTGCTTGGCATCTATTTTCTCCTTACATCATAATACTAGGTTGAGCATGCGACTCAAGCTTTTTATCTTTTAACTGCATAGTGTACAAATGTATAGCTGCTGGCTCATCAACAGTAAGGATACTTGAAGAATTGGCATTGGAACGTCTTTTCGTTTGTTTTATGTAATCGCTCAGGTAAAGAATAGCGTTTTCTGTAACCTTCAGAGCTTCTTCTGGTGTCATAGTAGAACTATTCTCATAGCTTTCAGTATATTTTACTACCTTGATGTGGCAGTCGACGTCAATGATCCGAAAAATCAAAGTTAATTTCGGACCTATGATGATTTTATTTTTCATTATATTAAGTTCAGCTCTGAATAAAAATATATGATCTATTATTGCGTACGTGATAGTCAAACTCAAAGAAACTTAGTGATAGGAAAAGCAAAAGCTCATAGAGATGTATGCAGATGTATCAAAGGTCAACGGAAGATATCAAAAGCGAAATAGCCTAGACAACTAACCAATAATGTGAAAAGGAATATGAATACTATGGGTCGAAAAAATAGAAATCTCTTTATGTTACTGAGTGAACCGAAAGCTTCTATACAAGATATTTGTTCCACTTTTTTACATTTCCTAGACTGAAAGGCTAGGGTCTAGAAACAGAAATTCATCTGTGTCTGTCTGTCTGTCTGTAACACTTGGTACAAATGACCATTTTTGTGGTACAAAGTACCATAGTCATGGTAAAAGTGACTATTTTCGCAGTACAAAGTACCATAGTTGTGATACAAATGACCATTTCCATGGTACAAAGTACCATAGTCGTGGCACAACTGACCATTTCCGAGATACAAAGTACCATAGTCATGGCACAAGTGACCATTTTCGTGGTACAAAGCACCATAGTCATGGTAAAAGTGACCATCTTCGTGGTATAAAATACCATAGTGATGGTACAAGTGACCATTTTCGTGGTACAATATAACGTAGTCGTAGCACAGTATAAGATAGTCGTGGCACAAATAACCATGTATTTGACACAATTGGCCACTTTCATTATACAATTGATTTTTGCTGTGGCGTAATTCACCGTTTTCATGACACAATCAACTGTTTCTATGGCACAGTTGACCATTCTTATGGCTCAAATGAACATTTCTGTGTCACAATTGACCATGTTCGTAATACGCATGGCCAGTACTTAGGCATAATTCACCCTGTTTTTGTCGTTATAATTAATTAAAGCATGAATTTTATCATATACATTAGCATGTCTCATTATTTTGTGTGAACTATTTGAATATACCGATAGTATGTAATATTGGACATGTTACAAATATTAATAATTTCTCGTAAATGCATCATTATACAGAATTGTTTTTTTTTAAATAGACGAACATCTTGATCATTGTTCCGTCAGTCTAGGGCCAAGGGAATGACACTGAATGCTGATGAACGCTACTTGTCCATAGAAATCATTTCAGAAACGTAAAGGATGACCGAAAAACAGAATTCTGACTCATTGGGACTTATATACTTACTATCAGTCATTTTCTCTCAGATTTACCCCCAGAATGATGGGCACTTTAAAAAATCGGAAAAAACGTGGGACCGAGCACTGTTTTATTCTTTTATCTACTGTCACCATTTAAAACAAAACAAAATGTTTAGAACTTTGAAAACTTCATTGACATATCATCGTTTACAGTGTGATCAGACTGTTATACAACCTATAATTTGGATTTTTCTTGAGTCCTGATAATGCAACAGAATTTTAGCGTTCCCCACTGACAAGATCTTAAATAGAGACCAATTCATATAAATAATAAGAACTTTTAATTGACTTGAAATGATGTCTAGGTCAAATATGACCCAAGCACATATCTTTCTCAACATGATATTCTAAAGACGAGACCTGTCGATTGCGTTCCATCCGTGTCATTTCGTTACCTAGGACCTATCAAACTCGTCTTCAATCCTCTACTGCAAAAACTAACACCATAAGCCAGATATCATCTTCTAAATGAGTATACAATTCGAATTCAGATCTATAGCTTTTAATTTTCAGCACGTTTTCTTAGGTATGCAAAACACAAACATTTTTCCTATAAACTAGCGCATCATCCCTCACGAAAAAAAAGCGTGTACCGATACAACCTAAGCATTCTACTCTTCTTAGGATCAGTATACACGTTATTACATTTACGTATTCTCAATACACATTTCAAAAGAACGCTACTGATCACTAATCGATTTCCTTTTCTATTGAAGAGTCAAAAGTTTCTGCGGAACATTAACCGGCAAATTCCCCTCTATTTCATTCCATTCTACAACCA